ATAAACGTAATAGTAGCTTTTTTGAAATATATATCGTTTTTATCTCTTAAAAAGGTTTTTTTTTTTTAACTATAGAAATTGAAGTATGCTGGAGCTTTGGAATAACTATACATTTTCATATATCTGGCAAACTCTGTTTCCTAAATAAATAAAGCTGGTGAATTTTTAATACCTTTAAAGCTGTAATATCTTCAGCAAATGCAATCTACGTGTATTCTCGAATTTTTCTGTAATTTTTGGACACCTGGTACTTTTCGATTTTGATACCTTGGATAATAAGCTATACTATAATAAACATGTTTTTCTGATTTATTCACGTTTACATAGTCAAGCAATAATTTTTGGTCACTTTTTCAGTCGTCTGGCCCACTGTGCATGGTCGAACCACTGAGTGACCTTGGAGAATATGAAAAAGGACATGACTAAACAGGTTACTGGCTAATGACTACTCTTATCCATTAGTTCATCGTAGCGTTGTCGATGAATCCAAATAATCTGCATAGAGAGCTTTTTGATACTCATTTCCAGAAAAATTCTGAAGAAATATTAAACCTATTTCCAAGAAATTGTGCCGGAGCTTACAAAATAGCGAAATATATTTTCAAAGTAGGAATAATATCATGGACATAAGCATTAATTTCGCTTTACAAAAGTCCAAGTCGAGACTACATGCTCTCGAATATTCTGCAAATAGCGGACAATGCTATCAGCCGCTGACTTTTACCAATTTCAGAAAATTTTTTAGTCCATAACTCCATCTTTTAGGGGAGTTGAAGTACCTAATTCTTCCTCAAAATAATACGTAAGTACATACATACATATGTGCGGGGAAAATTCGATGTGACGGCGCCTCAAGAAATCTTTATAACAGTCGAGAGATCTCTCGAAATTAGGCAGTATACTCTGGCGCTTTCTTCGCCATACTTCAACAATGTCCGTACAGAATCTACCCACAATCAGCAGCATCAATGAAGGAGCTCTAAGAAATTAAACCGATGGGCTGTGCAATGCCATCATAGAGTCGAACCAAACTGATGTTTTTTAAGGATGGAAATAAACATTTCCGCCGTGTTATCACATGATGGGAGCCAAATTTTGTTTTAGTTAGTACTATGATATCATAGAGTCACCACGAAGAGAGAAGCAACGGTGGTCGATTTTTTGTTTTTATACCCACCGCGTTCTAGTAAATAATACAGCAAAAATTCAAATACAATACCGAGTTCAACATGAAAATTACCCGGTGACTGTAATCGAGTAACAAAATTATTACGGCCTTGTAACTCTACGTAGGCTAGGGGATGTGAGAGATTCAATGAAGTGTGTTACGTAGAGATATTACACTTACCTGATACATTCCAGTAATTGGAAGGCATGTAACACATAGCATCTAAATACCAAGCAAATTAGCTGACTAAAAATTAATTAAAAACAAAAATATTTTATGTTTAAATGTTTATTCAGCATAATTTTTATTTACTTTAATTAGTTGCTTATAATACATAATTAAATATTCTTTTATTTTTTACTCTTTACAAATACAATTAACAGCCTTATTATTAGCAATCGTACATATTTTGTTTTTTATTATTCGTCTTTTTATATTCGTTTTTGCCCAAAAAGGTGGAGGGTTGGTTTTTTAGGGTTACTCTTTAAATTACAAATTACATAATTATAGTTGAGTATGACGACAATACGTTTGTATGGCCTTCGTCGACAATTTTCAGATTGCGTGCACTGGCGCTTTGTTTGTTTTCTTGTTTTATTTTATTTTCTTTTGTTTTGTTTTGTTTTGTTTGCGTTTGCATGATTGATTTGTTGCAACGTGTCGTGCTCGCCAACTATTTGCTACAAACGGCTAAATACCAGGAGCGGGGGGTGGTTTAGAAAGTACAAACATTCTAGCTACGCATGTACATATGTATGTAGGTATGAGAATAGGCATTTACAGGACATGAAGGAGTTTCTTTTACAATGATGAATGCCCTGCACTTTTGCTTCGTTGACATCATAATTTTTTTCATTTTTTTGTTATTTATTTATTTACTATTTTACGTAGTTTGCAAGTAATAATTATTTTTAATTTATTCATTTATTTTTAATGTCGTAGATTTATAATTTAAATTTTTTTNTTTATTTTTTTTGTTGTTTATTTATTTACTATTTTACGTAGTTTGCAAGTAATAATTATTTTAAATTTATTCATTTATTTTTAATGTCGTAGATTTATAATTTAAATTTTTTTTTTCTCGCAAAGTGCTTGCGTTAAATTTGCATGGTTCAGTGGTGGCATGTTGCTGCAATAAAATTCTATTCTATAGTATAAATGCCGGAATTTTGGCAGTTGTCGTTTTAATTACAGCTGTGTCAGTTAATCGCCTAAGTTATTCTTTATTTATTTGCTTGAAGTAGATATAGTTTATTCTTAGATTTTGTTTTTATATTTTTATAATTTATTTTATGCAGATGCTATTCCTATAAACGTAGTTAGGCATATTTTAGATGCATTTTAACTATTTACATACGTAACCTATTATTTTATATGTATATGTATGCATGTATGTATGTATATTTCATAGTTATTAGTATTCACAGTTCGAAATTGTAGTGCTTTAGGTGCTTATTAGTGGCATGCTGTATGAAGAGATATAGTTTGGAAAACCAATTTCGAGAAGAAAGGACAACATGTCTATCGTATAAAAAACGTATGATACTTCGAGAAAAAATACTGATATTCCCGAAAAGTTCAAACAAAACACGAAAAACCACCAAAACTCCTCAGAGGTAGCGAGGCTGTGCCTAAAAGTCCAGATAAAATCATGAAAAACCTCAAGAGGATCCCGTAAATACCAAACGAAATCTCAAAGAATGCTAGTTGCCAAAAATGTTTAGAAAAGACTNCATATGATACTTCTAGAAAGAAATACTGATATTCCCGAAAAGTTCAAATAAAACACGAAAAACCACCAAAACTCCTCAGAGGTAGCGAAGCTGTGCCTAAAAGTCCAGATAAAATCATGAAAAACCTCAAGAGGATCCCGTAAATACCAAACGAAATCTCAAAGAATGCTAGTTGCCAAAAATGTTTAGAAAAGACTCGCCTAAAATCCCCAAGGAACCCTACAAGGCATTAAAATAAAAATACGGCAAGTAAATTTAATCAAAATGGACAAATAAAAATTTAAATAAAAGAAAAAATATAAATATTCTTGAAAAGTTAAAGAAACCGCGTTTTGAACTAATTTGAATCAATTTGATGTCTAATCTAAAAATTATGGGAAAATAAAATTTTAAGAATTACATTAAAGAGAAAAAATATATGTTTCTTCTAAAATTTAATGTTTTTCTTAAACAATAAAATCCAAAAATTAGATGAAAACAAAAAACAAAACGAAGAAAATAAAAAAGAATTAGCCGAAAAAAATTATAAGCTTCTTAAATTTAAATAAAAAAAAAAATATATATATAAAATTATTTTATAAAAAGTTGTGGAAGTTTTACAAAATTTTTAAACAATAAAATAAAAAAAATAAAAAAAAAGAATAAGAAATAAAAAAGAAAAGAAGTCCGCTGCTCGAGAACNTGCCTAAAATCCGCAAGGAACCCTACAAGGCATTAAAATAAAAATACGGCAAGTAAATTTAATCAAAATGGACAAATAAAAATTAAAATAAAAGAAAAAATATAAATATTCTTGAAAAGTTAAAGAAACCGCGTTTTGAACTAATTTGAATCAATTTGATGTATAATCTAAAAATTATGAGAAAATAAAATTTTAAGAATTACATTAAAGAGAAAAAAATATATGTTTCTTCTAAAATTTAATGTTTTTCTTAAAAAATAAAATCCAAAAATTAAATGAAAACAAAAAACAAAACGAAGAAAATAAAAAAGAATTAGCCGAAAAAAATTATAAGCTTCTTAAATTTAAATAAAATAAAAAAAAAATGTTTAAATAAAAAAAAAATATATATATATAATTATTTTATAAAAAGTTGTGGAAGTTATACAAAATTTTTAAACAATAAAATAAAAAAATATAAAAAAAAGAATAAGAAATAAAAAAGAAAAGAAGTCCGCTGCTCGAGAACTCGAACCTCAAACGCTGCGCTAGTGCTTTGATCACTCGGCCATTGCGACTGTTGGAGCGCTGCGAATAAAAGGATATACAAGTGGTTTCAAAAGAGAAAGAAAGGGAGCTTTGTTTGGTAAGACACTCGTCTCTGAATAAATATAATCTTTCAAGCTATCTTGCCTAGTGTCTATCACTGCGACCCTAGGTCAATTGTGTGTGCTCTCAACGCTCATCACAACACCTCGTCCATCCCCAGTGTTCTGATGAAACCGACTAGTTTCGAGGGCTGTAGAGAATGAATGTCTGAAGCTCCCGGCCACAGCCTTCCCAGGAGTGTTAGCCGTGAGGTTTCTGGTACTCTGTCGCAGTAACGGCAGGAGTCGTCTGCGCTAATCCCTGGGGTATCCTGTAATAAATCTCAAATTACTCATGTGGAGTGTGATTAGTTCTCTGAATCTGTTGGGGTTATAACATCAGGTTGGTTAAAAAGCACTCGTAGACTAAGAAGGGGAAAGACATCATAAATCTGCACGTGAGCACAGCTTTCGGGAATCGTTATTGTGTCATGTGCTTCAGTAGAAAGGAGGCAATTACTAAAGTGCAGCTCGAACTATTGCTCGTAATTTTTAGAATATTCCTAGCACTTACCTGTAACAACAAGCGCTGAAGTATGTAAAGAAACAGCTTTAACCAAAGGTATCGCTCAAATATACTAAGTAGATAATCGTAGACTGACGATATGAGGACTCTGTTCGGTTCCAAGGGCTCAAGCTTAATAACAAAGAAGTTTCGAAGCAAATGTCAAAAGTATGAACAGCTATGTAAATCCCTTAACTAGATCCAAGGATACATTGAAATATGAAGACGAATAATGTTTGCACATTAACAAGATCTTTTTGTTTAGGTTGGTAGCATTTGGGAGTTTAGCTTTGTCGAGTGAAAAACTGTTAGAAATTTCGCCTTTAGGCTATTGAGGTGTATAGAATCTTACGCTACAAATTGTATTACAAAAATCCTTGGGATATTATTTCGTTATTTATTAGCTATTAGAAAACATCAATTCTTTGAATATGCTGAAAATCACGTTTCTTAATTTTTCATGAGTTTTCTCATTGCTTCCACTCGATCGACGAATTTAGCCGTTGCCTTATGCGTAAGAATATTCTATAAAGTACGTACATATATCTTCCATAAATTATGTTACCTTTGAATCTCTGCATATAACGATTTTAACACCAAAACACCATGAAGTATCTATATTCAGCTATACATACCCAGCATACTGTTCTTCTTTAGTGTTTAGATAAGTCGTTATTCTGTACGTATTCTTTGCTTTGCCTGGGCTAGTCACTACATATTTTTCACTAAATATAATATTTTGCATATTTGTATGGTACAGTAAACTCTCTTAGCAGTTAATTACTTAACGTAGTTTACCTTTCGGTTGCTTAATACTCCAATCTTATTAGCACTACGATAGTTTCCCAGTGACTCGCTATCTGCCTAGAAAAGCAAGCGCTACTTACCAAAGTACTTTTTCATGAGCCGAGTGAGAATTACAATTAATTGAGACCTTATACCCTATCGCTTGGTCCGAAGCTACTAAAATATGTTGTTGCTGTAGCAGTTATGCTTTGCTGCGCTTGCGCTTGAGCTTGCGGGTGTGTGGGTGTGCTGTTGGCGGCTGTGACTGTGACTGTGAGTGCTTGGGTTTCGGTTTGGTGGTGGGCGGCGGGCGTACTACTATAATTACTACTAATAATATTCTTAGCGGCGCTACTCTTCTGCGGCGAGGCGCTATATGCATTCAAGCAACTATCCGAGCTTTTCTGAGCTACGCCTGCCAAACTACTACTATTCATATTACAACTATTATTGCTAGCATTAAAATTACTATTATGACTTGCAGTTGAATGCTGTTGTTTTTCTAGCTGTTGCTGTGATTTATCACCTGATGTTAGCGATTGCTGTTGCTGCTGCTGCTGCTGCTTGTAGGACTGATATGCATCCGAGGATACGGCCGACCATGAGCCATCTTTCGCCTTCACATACAAATGTTGCTTACTTGGCTGCTTGCTGCCAAAGCTGTGATTGTAGTTTGTCTGTTGCTGATGCTGGGATTGGTGGGTTGGTTGTGGGTGGCTGATGTGTGAGTGTGCAAGCGACTGCTTCTCGGTGGCTATGGAGGCGCTGGAAGTCCAATCGTTAAGCAGTTGATTCGTTGATGTGCTAAGTACAGCGCCAAAGTCGTTGGCCGCAGCGCAGCTGCTGTTAGTGTAGTCAACACCGCCGCCGCCGCCCCCTGCCAGTTCGCCATCATCGCCGCCTGTGAGAAAATCAAAGTGTGCGGCGCTGCTCTTTGCGGTGCTTAGCGATAACACATTGCCGCCGCCGCTGCCGCCACCTCCACCGCCACCAATGTGGTTGATAAGCAGCTGTGATTTATTGTTGCTGGCGCCTACATTGCCGCTACCATAGTGATTGCCAAAGTTAATGTTATTTTCGCTTTTGAATATTTTCGGATGTCGTTGGCGACGCAAAGTGCCCGCGCCACCACCGTTTACCATCTGCGCGGCCAAAGTGGTGTTGGCAAAGGCGCCAAGTCCTTGGCGTAGCGCATTGCTGGCGGCTAGTAGCTGCTGTTGTTGCTGCTGCTGTTGTTGTAATTGGCGTTGATTAGCGCTAGCGGTGACATTGCTGCTATTGGCGATGGGGGCGTTGCTGTTGAAGGGATTCAGGCGCGGCATAAGCGCTGTCGGTTTTGTCGACGCGCCAATACTATCACTGCCCGCGGAGCTGGATGCGGTTGCGCCAGACGAGGCGGACGAGCCATTTGTGGGTGTGGGCGAGATGCGACTTTGGTTGCTCATGAGATCCAGTTTATTTTCGGTAATGTTGATTTTTTGTTGACTGCCAGCGCAGCTGCCGCCATAGAGACTTTTCGCGTCGAGCGCATTGGAGAGTGAAACTTTCTTGTTGTTGACGCTGCGCGCTGGTGAGGCGCTCAAAATTGCCGTAGAAGCGGTGGAGGCGGTCATTTTGTCATTGAAGGGATTGGCCGCAGCCAAATCGATGAGTCCAGCGTAGTGGGCGCTAGGTGGCGCTGAATACATGCCAGTAGCGCGATAGTCATCGTGCTTGCTGTGTGCTGGACTATTGTTATTGTTGTTGCTGCCACTGTTGCCGGTATTGTTTAGTTGGCGTGTTGCCTTGCCATTGGCNGGAAGCGGTGGAGGCGGTCATTTTGTCATTGAAGGGATTGGCCGCAGCCAAATCGATTAGTCCGGCATAGTGGGCGCTAGGTGGCGCAGAATACATGCCAGCAGCGCGATAGTCATCGTGCTTGCTGTGTGCTGGACTATTGTTATTGTTGTTACTGCCACTGTTGCCGGTATTGTTTAGTTGGCGTGTTGCCTTGCCATTGGCCGATGCCGGTGGCAATGGTATCGTTTTCATCGTCGTCGTCGTCGTGGTGGTGGCGGCAGTGCCGGTGATGCCATAGCGATTCTGATAGAGTTTGGCATTTGCCACCAAATTTGTTGTTGCATACGCGCCACAGCTGTCATAGAGCGCATTGCCAGCGAGCGCTGGCATATTGTTGCCATTACCACCGGATGTTTGCTGCAGTATGGCATGTGCATTTCCGTTTGGCGTTACGTGTGCCAGCGCGCCGTTCGGCGATTTGAATGTTGAACATGCAACCTCTGCATAATCGGGCATGTTAAGCGGTGTTAGGCTGTAGGAAGAGAAGAACAAATGGGGGAAAAAAAGAGTTTCAGTTAGCTAAGGCTTGATCAAGTGGATAGAGCTGGGTTAAGCGTTTGCATGCGTGTTGGTGTTTTTGATGGAGTTTTTGTTTTCATTGCTGTTCTCGCTGTTATTTCCTGACAGACGAGTGAATATTTCCATTTGAACGGAAATGCATAATACAAATATAGCTACATACATACATTACACCACTTTATGTTACCCACCCACCTACGCGCGCGCGCGCTAAATTTTGAAAAGGAGCGTGCATGCCTTACCACAACACTAGCTATAAGTTCATGCAACAACGCCCGCAAAACGCGACATATTGCAACATAACGTTGCATGTTCAATTCATATGCAGCTACTTCAATTGTTTTGTTGCATGTCGTTGTGGCATTTCGTTCATTTTTTTTCCTCTCCCACATTCCGATTTTTCGACCGGAGTTATAGTCGCTTGCATGTCGCAACTGGTTGGGGGTTTTGTTGTTACCGGAAATTGTTGTTGTTTTTTGGCAAAATGATTGAGTATTTATGAGCGTTGTTTGGTCTGGTCATGCAAAGTTACACTCACACAATTGCACCTACAATTGCTTTTGCATTCTCTTAATCAGCACATTAAGTCGCTGGTCCTCCTCCTACAGTGGCAGTGGAACAGCTGCTCGTTAGCGTCGTCTGTACAGGCGTCTATGGTCAGTGGTTTTATTGCAATGCATGCAGAGAAGGGTAGGGTTGGTAGCTATGCATGCGCGCGGAAACGAAAAGCGCCATGGCAGGAAAGAGGTAAAATAAATCGCGTTAAATGAAGACATTTAATAGAATAAATTCACGCTAATTGAATTTCTCAATAAAAAGTTTATACTATGTTAGTGCTGTGTTTTAGAATTCCGAATTTCAATTCAAATTGTCTTAAGGCCGAGAGAGCTGAGACACTGAAGTAAATCAGAAGCCTGATCACTAGCGAGCGCTGAGGCTTTGCAAACGCAAGGAGCTCGTTTGATAGCCAACTCCTGGCCAAAAGGATCTGCCAATTTCTCATGTGCTAGCTTTAGCCCAGTGCTCGCTGAGCTTACAGGAGACCCAAACGCTCAGGAGTATACCGCAGGAGGACAGATGCATTCCTAGTTGCTCCCTGTCGGGCGATAAGATTTCAAGGGTGTCTTTCATTGCCAGGTCATCAGCTACGCAGTTTCGTGCGATGTCACTGTGACCCTGAACCCCAACTAGCGTTATAAAGAAGTACTTCGACGCGATTCTTTGGCATTCCCTTACCGATCTAGAGTACACCAACATAGCGTTTAGGGCCCTGATGGCCGCCTGACTATCCAAGTATATGCTAACCTCCCTAAGTGAAGTAACACTCTTTAGGAGCGAGTCTACCGCTTCCTTGATGACAGCTGTTTCCATCTAAAAGACACCGCAGAAGTCCTGAAGCCTGGACAATGCAAAATTCTCGACAGAAGACCCCTCCACCAACCCTGCCAACCAAGAGTGTACCGCAGCAGGATGGAAGCATTGCTAGTTGCTGCATATCAGTTGATAAGGTTTCAAATTATCTTTCTTTGCCCTGGCCAACCCTCCTCAATGTTTTGATCCACCGGTGAAGAAGTTTACCGCTCCCTTTTTCCAGTGAGCCCTCCCACCCAGTCCTCTCTTGAAGGAATGCAGATAGAGAAGGAGCTGATGAGAGCCATTTGGGGGGCGTGGTAATCTATCTTTTTAGGGACGAAGTCAAAGACCCCCAGTGAGTGTAGGATTCCTCTATATACTTTACTAATTTGTCCACTATCCACCCACCTGCTCTTGCAATAAGCCTGTTCAGTTCTCGAAAGACAGTAATGAAGAATCTCGTTTCTTATGTGCAGGCCTTCGGGATCAACCCTCCAGGCCTTTGAGATGTAGCCGACAACATCTCTAGACGACATCTCTAGAGCCTTTTGCAGGTATGCTGCTCGGTCGCCGGCACCCTGAATGGTTCGAACGAATTTATCGCCCAGGCCATGTCGGAGAGGGAGATAGAACTCCCTGCGCTGCCCCAAAAGAGATTTCTCCTAGGAGAGGTTGCAAGAAAAATTAGCATCATCCGATGTCCTGCCTCGTCACCCAAGTACCGCAAGGGTGTGGGATTGCTCGTGAGTTTTCCATGACTCCCTCTCCGATGTTCCAATTTCGGACTTTCTTACCCCCAATCCGACTTAATAAAGTCTTCAGTCAAATAACTAGCCAAGTTCTTGACCTAAAGAAAAGGTAATTTCAATGGCCGATTCAAAAGCTCCCTATCCCAGCACATTCTCAATACATTTTCATTTCATATAGGGCATTTTTTAACCGAGTTCTGAGATAGGGCGTTCTGCAACCAAATTATGAGATAAAGTGTTTTTCAATGAAATTATGAAGTAGGGCGTTCTTGAAAAGTTTTCTGATATACAGCGTTTCCGAACTACCGAGATATGTAGGTCGATCTTCCACTCAGGTGTCGGGGATTAGTATTCCAGCCATTTCTTTTAGTTGTATTCGCTCTATGCTGGAAAACAGAATTATTCAAGGGAAAAGCGGAGAAGTCTAGTAACTACATAAATATGTGAGCAGAGGCACTCCACAGGGAGGTGTACACTCCCTACTCCTGTCAGTGGCGGCGTTCAGCGGGATTTTGTTGGAACTCAATAAGGGAGAGGTTAAAGTGGTTGCATATGGTGCATATGGAATCCTAGAGGAGGCACTAGTTAAACTACACGCATGGGCTAAAAGTAGCAGCCCTAAAGTTAACCCAAGCAAAACTGATTTATTACGATGTACAAATAGAAATGAGATACCCCAATTTAGACTTACATCCATAGGCGGAAAGATTGCTGTCGATATGGTATCGTAGCACAGGTTCTGCTTTTCAGTCGTTTCAACTTAAACTAAGAACTTTTATTTTACAACTGGTGTTTTTGCTTTGTAACCCTATTTGTGCAATGAGCAACAAAAAAGTTCTCATCAGGCACCGCGAAGCAAGCTAGTCATTTGCTAGTTACTANAACAAAGGTTCGGAATTCGAAGCACTGCTGTGCATAGAGTGGGAATGAAGTTGGAGTGCAAAACGTTGGCATATTAAAAAAAAAATGTTCAATGTTAATGGCTTTGATGGCAATAAATTTTACTGCGAAGCACACGTTTCAAATGTAAAGCGGATGTAATGAAATTTCCTAGTGAAAATATGGTTGATGCACAGGAAATGAACTGCGCGAGTGTCAAGGATGGAGGGAGAAGCCCAAGAGGAGCAGCACAACAAGCGGTGGTTAAGTGAAGAGAGGGAAACAATAATTGCGTAATAAAGTAAATAAATGCGTAAAGCGGCCACAAGTAAACACTGAAAAACAACAGCTATAAAAACAGCAAATAAATGCAGCAACATGGGTGTTGCCTATCAAGTGCGTCACGATTGCAATACTGCGGCGTACGCCTCCCCCTTTGTTGCCGCTCGCTTTTTTTTTTATTTTTACTTTTATTTGCTACATTAAATTTTAAGCAACACAAAAAAGGCATACGCAATGTGAAGAACCCTCCCCCTTCCCCTTCTTGAGAGGAGTTGCTGTCGTGCGTGAAGGGGGACGTATGTAGTTAAGTAGGTGGAGTAGGGTTACTACCCATTTCGGTGAAATTCATTAAGCGCAGCCAAAGGTGGGTTGGACGCCATGCAAATAAGCAAACAGCGGCGCAGGCAGGAAAAAAACAATACAACAACGCCGACAGACAGTTTGATAGACAAACCCAAAATGAATACAGTTAACCTCTCAGCAGCAAGGAGTAGAGGAAGCGATAACGAAATATTAAAATTTTTTTTTGTTTTACCATTGCCAATGTTGCTATTGCTGTTGCTATGACTGGCAGCTGTTGTTTACCCCATTGCTGTTTTTCTTTTAACTGTTTCTGCTCCGCTGACAGCTTGCAGCGGTGGGTGGGCATTGAACACGTGGCTGCCGTTCTCACTCCACTCCACGCCATGGAGTTTTGTGGGCCAGCTCTTGTTTTTCTTTAACCAAATAAGCCAACCGGCGGCATTCTAATTTTTTGGCTATTCTTTCGTGCGTTTTCTTCGGCACTTTTCCAAAATGCACTCAAGTGTAACACTTTAATGGCTTAGCAGACTTAGCAGAGTTGGTGGTTGCCACTAGCGAATGATGGTTTTTAATTATACGAATTTCTTCAGAATTAAGTATGTAGTGTACTTTTATGGAAAGGAGGCCCACTTGGAAATGATACTTTTTTTTTTTGGGGGAGTGGGAGTCAAGTAATTTTTGAATGCATAATTTGAGGTTCAGTATCAGCCTGCTTTGTTGTGAGTAATAAGTGCAGCTCAATGGTAAATGAGCAGGTTTTACTTAGCCTCCAGTACTGTTGGGGTCAATTGCTACTTTTGGATCGCTACTGCACCGACTCCTAGGTAAAAGCTACTCTATAAAGCCGTGGTATAGTCGAACCAGTCGAAAATAGAATTGCGAAAAACTACGACAGCGGGCGTCCATAAATCTACCTTAGTAACACCTGGTAGTACTGAGAAAACCGATAGTTACTATCGCCTAGGACATTTTCATGTAAAAATAATCGCTGAAATACAAGGAAAGTAGTCGGTCGGCAATCGACGAAGTATACTTGGTAGCTACCGATTTATCAGTCCTGTAATCGCTCCCCTCTACTGCAGGGTAGCTACGAAATGATTAGCTGGTTACGCTTAAAAATCCACAACGGGGGTGTTTCAAGGCTCGAGCAATCCTAGGGACTTTAGTGCCAACTAGAAATAGATACAAAATGCGAATTCCCTAGGTAAACTTTGGAAGGTGTCCTTTCAGATCTACCAGTCTGATGTGTCAGGAAAGGAACTGAGTACCAGACAACTGCGTTATCTAAAAATTAAGATGTGATCCATTGTATCAGTTGTTGAAAATACATGATAGCTGGTAGATATGGACATTCACATGAGGCAGTGCTACACACTTTCTTCGTTAACTCTTAGTTATCAGCGGCGGCAAGCTCTTTTACATGGGAACTCCATTATCGCTATATGTTTGCCTATATATCCTTGGCCTATTAAGCAGGTCTACTCAGGCCAGAGTTTCTTTTGAAAGTCTGTATATCCAACCACGGATTCCTTCAAGTATGCCCCGGCCTTCGCCAATTCATTCACCATCTCATTGGCGTCAATAATTCTATGGCCAGTAACCCAGATAATAGAGGCGGTCATTGACGCAGATATTGAGCAAAATTCTATTTTGCTCTTCTGGAAAATCTGAGGTTCAGTAACCGGTGATGCTAATGCTAACAGGGCCGCTTACCTTCTCCTAGAACCTAACAAGCTTAAAACTTTCGCTTGGATGCTTGGACTATTCCGTAGAGGGATGGATAATGAGACGCCTGTCCCCAAACTGCATTCCATCTTTGAACCGTCGGTGTAGATGAATCTCACTTTTATGTTATTGAAGCTATGGTTAGATACCATATATTTGGTCTTTTGTCGTGATAGTATTTCGGTTAATTTAGACCTGCAACTCTGCCCAGCCGCCATAATAAGAAGCGCTTTTAATTAAACACTTTTCGGCAGTACTTCTTCAATAGGCATCACAAAATCTTCCAATAGACCTGTTACTCGAAGGCCAACACGAAGGCTATTTTCCAAAGCAATAGAAAAGAAAAAGAAAGGAAACAGTCGCGGTAGACATGACAGTGCGTCTGTAAAGCTAAATTTGTAATGCAAGTTATTCTTTAGGCCTGCCCTTGTATGTCTTCAAATAATCCTGATTCTCTGTCAAACTCTAATGGCATTTCGATAAAGCTAATTAAGTTATCGAAGAAGTGGTTTTCTAGAAATTTGAGACAAAGACTTCGGAGTACGGACGAAGTGCCCAATAGATTTTATGTCTCTTCCTCAATTATTTCAGCTTTCACGGACGTCGATATGCAGGACTTCGGATTTGGGGTGGAATCGTAAGGGGGGCCATACGCTTTGACCCACTCTACCCTCTAACCGGACAATTCTGACAACTGTCTTTCAATTCACCACGATCTTTTGAAAGAAAAAAATCTTCCGTATGACAATTGTCAATTCTTGCAACTATCTGAAAACCTCTTTATTGTCTTTCGAAAAACTAACTGAACATCTGCTATTGCGGAGTTCTTACAAAAAAAAAAATAATAAATTCAAAAAAATTATAAGATATTAAAAATTAAATTAAATAAAAAAAGTAAGTATATTTTTAAAAAATAGAACCAGAAAATTAAAGAAAATTAAATTAACAAAGGAATGACAGACTTAATTTAAAAAAAAAGAAAAAATAAATTAAATAAATTTCCAAAAAGTAAGAGAAATTAAAAAAAAAAAATTTTATTTAAAAAAAAAAAAATAACTTAACTGACAAAAATATTAATAAATCAAAGAAATAAAATAAGTTAATAAAACTCAAATGAGATTAAAAAATATTCCTTTTAAAACAATAACAACGAAACCATTAAAGAAAATTAAACTAAAAAGAAAAGAAATACATAAAATAAATTTTTAAATTTAGTTAAAAACATCTTCGATAAACTAATATCGGTATAAAGCTCATTTTGCAAAATTCCATAATAATGCTACTTCTTTTCAAGTGATTGTGGTTAGTATCAATTTTGTGTAAATTAGCGTCCTTAAATTTCGAAATATCGAAGTTTCAACCATTTCTGAAATTTACCGTTATATAAAAAGTGGGCGTAATTTTAGTCAGCTTTCAATAATTTTCAGCGTTTTGCTTTTGTGTGGCAAGCACAATAATCATACCGAGTTTGGTACATATGTATATGTGATCATAAGTAGGCGGTGCCACGTCCATTTTCCAAAATTTTATCATAATCGTATTTTGTGCCAAAGAGCTATTGCAAACATCGAATTTGAATAAATTAGCTTCGGTATTTACTGATTTATCGAAGATTTCGTATTCATCCGAATTAACGTTATATTTGATGTGGGCGTGGTTATTATCTGATTTTAAAAGTTTTCAGCCATTTCATATCTTATTCCAAGGCTAACAATCGTACCAAGTTTGGGGGAAATTGGTGCAGCGGTTACCGAGATATAGACATGTTATCAATCAATCCAAAAATTTACAAAATTCTTATTTTTCGTCTAAAAATCATTGCAAATATCAATTTTGAGTGAATAGGCTTAAGTAGTTACTAAAATATCGTAGTTTTCGTATTTCTGAAATCTACCGTTATATGACAGGTAGGAGTGGTTATTGTCTGATTTTGCCCATGAGCTTGTTTGAGCTTTTTGTTGTTTGTTTGAGCTTGTTTTTTAAGACTTTTGTGCTAAAATAACTATCAAACTGCCTTGCCATCTATCTTTCATTTATCGTACGAAAGACTTTTTACAATCTTAGCCAGAACTTCCCTGTTAATCTATCTTAGATCCCATGCTCCTGCACTTGTCTACACCTCAAGTGGACCCTGATAGCAGTTGAACTATCTATAACAAAAGTGAGTTTTAATGGAGATGTAAGGCATCTCAGCCTGCCAGTAGCTGCAGTAGTCTGGGAGTCTATAGGCCTCTCTCAAAGTCGGCTGTTAAGAAAAACACCATACCCTGTTCCAATGTCCATTTTGGACCCAGCTGCGAGCTTCGAGGTCTCCTGTGCCCAACACTGGTTAAGAACGGTATGGAGTATCCAGTAAACTTTGGAACTAGGGGAGATTATAACAAACTTGTTACTTTATCATGGAGATCAACCCGGTTTAATTGTATGCACATCGTTTCGAGATCGGTTCAGGATTTTTTGGGATCATTTTGGGACCTATTCGGGACCATTTCCGGCCTAGTTCTGGACTATGGGAGTAATATTTTGGGACTAGTGCTGGACCCTCTCCAGACAAGTACAAGAATATTTCAGATACATTTCGGAACCAGTTCGGCATCATTTCGTAGTATATTTATGTAAGTAACTAAGCCGCCTGATGCTTTACCAATTCGTACACATTTGTTTGCGTGGCACCAACGCCTTTTTCATTTTTTAACTTTTGCGGACCACTAAAATCTTTTTCAAGTACTTAAAGTGCACATTTCTTAGTTGTGCAACATTAGCATTTAAATAGTTAAGAAATACAGAAAACAAAACCATAAAAACGATAACTTTAACCAAAACGCAATAACATTTAGTTTTATCGCTTGCATTGGAAACTTTTCAAAAGCTTATCAGCGAGAACTAACTTTCAAAGTTCCGGCAAGCGATAGTTAATGAAAAGAAAGAATAAAAAAAAGAATAATACAAAAGAAGTTAAGGAAAAACAAGTTGCGAAGTATAAAAACCGTAGCGCAACAACCAGCTAGGGGAACGCTACGAACTCTGGTAAGCCACAAATGCAAATTGGAAAGCAGCAATTAAACGGCAAAAGTCTGAAGAGTTGCAGAGAGTGGGAGAATGTTTGTGGGTGAATATGAGAACGCAAGTAGTCGTGGGTCGGTCGGCCAACTACAATCAGTTATTTCCTTATTAGATAATTAGCAACACGCACATTTCGTGGTATGGGCTTGCGCTAGGGGGCGCCTAAGCGTGTAGCCTACACTTTTTCTTTCATTATTGCCTAAACAACAGATAACTAATTTGCTGGTTACTTTTGGGCTGGGTAAGGGGCAACTTTGACGTTCCGCCGTGCAGCGATTGCTAAACTTTGCTTACACAGTTCGCGCTTATAATGGCGTCGAAGTGTATTTGTGCTTGCAAGCTTGTGCCNCGGCTTGCGCTAGGGGGCGCCTAAGCGTGTAGCCTACACTTTTTCTTTCATTGTTGCCTAAACAACAGATAACTAATTTGCTGGTTACTTTTGGGCTGGGTAAGGGGCAACTTTGACGTTGCGCCGTGCAGCGATTGCTAAACTTTGCTTACGCTTTTCGCGCTTATAATGGCGTCGAAGTGTATTTGTGCTTGCAAGCTTGTGCCTTCGTGTGCGTTTTTCTTTGCATTGATATTACCAAAATAAAAGGCAGCAATAACTTACCGTTCATAATCGGGTAATGGCAACGTTTGCTGGCCCGTGACTTGTGCGTAATCCGGAAGTTGGTCCTTTGTCGTACAGCTACTGGCCTGACGCCATACACCACCAGTCGAATCGATCCAGACGCCATTCGCATTCAAAGGTAGCGTAGGGAATTTTCGCACGGCACCGATTGCGTGATTGCCTGTAATAAGATGGAGGCGGAGAAGAAGCAAGAAAATAGATATAAATAAACGAGCATTAGAAAAGCAAAAAAAAAAAAACAAAAAAATAGGAAAGGGAGTTTTAGGCTCTAGCATGCTATCTATCTACATAAATTCGACCTGCATGCATATATTTTCAACAAATGCTATCTTACAAGCTCATTTAGATAGCCACCGCTGTGGCAGCGGATATTCAAAATTATCTATTTTTTGCGTGCTTTAAGCCTTTTTGGTATTCCAGTCCATTTTTTATTTGAGCAAATCTATCATTGAAACTTTTTTCTTCTGCACTTCGAGAATTTATTATCATTTCTCTTCTACCTGTCTTTGCTGTGTGTACTTCGAGCGCTGGCAGCGTATCTTTTTCGATCGTAATGTGCACCTCTTAATCAACTCGCCTAATTTGCTAAGCTCTTTTGTTTGGTTTATTATAATTTTATTTGCTTTCAGTGTTTTTTCTTTTTGTTTTCTTTTTTTGTGCTTCGCGCATAATTAATGCATTTTTTACGTGTCTTCCAATAATTTCTCATTCCGCCCCGATTCAGCGATTGTTTTCTTGTTATTCTTACTGTCGCCGGCTTTGTTTGAGTGGGTTTTTTTTTTATTTTTGCATTATGCGAATTTATTATTAGGCACGATTTGTTTCCTTTTGTCTTGCAAAATTTCNCTTTTGTGCTTCGCGCATAATTAATGCATTTTTTACGTGTCTTCCCATAATTTCTCATTCCGCCCCGATTCAGCGATTGTTTTCTTGTTATTCTTACTGTCGCCGGCTTTGTTTGAGTGGGTTTTTATTTTTTATTTTTGCATTATGCGAATTTATTATTAGGCACGATTTGTTTCCTTTTGTCTTGCAAAATTTCTTCAAACTTTCAATGTATGTTCATTAGGGTTGGTCCAAAAATGCATGCAAAAAAGTAACGTCGGAATTTCAATGCTCTTACTCCCTTGGATTGTTCTATACCTAAAAAAATTATATCGTGTTTTTTTTATTTTAAATTCAAAAAATATTTAGAGGTCACTCAAAGCGCTCAAAGTTTGCTATGTAGTTTTTATGGGCAGAAACTTTTGGTAGAAATTTTATAGAATTATTGAAAATCAATATTTTTCATTCGGAAAACTTTGGTTCTCTTCATAAGGCTTCCAATAATAATACCAAATGGTTCATTTAACAATTTTTAAATGCTAAAGGTCTTTATTGGGCACCATATTGCGTTTATATAAAATATAGTTACTATGAAAAAAATTGTTAAATAAATAATCCGGTTTCCTGAAGAGAAAAGAGTTTTCCAATCGCAAAAGTATTGATTTTCTACGAAAAGTTTTTTTTTTGTTTTGAGCGACCACTAAATATTTTTTGATTTCAAAAAAAAAAAAACAGCGGTATAATGTTTTCGGTATAGAACAATCTTAGGGGGTNTACCATATTGCATTTATATAAAATATAGTTACTATGAAAAAAATTTTTAAATAAATAATCCGGTTTCCTGAAGAGAAAAGAGTTTTCCAATCGCAAAAGTATTGATTTTCTACGAAAAGTTTTTTTTTTTGTTTTGAGCGACCACTAAATATTTTTTGATTTCAAAAAATAAAAACAGCGGTATAATGTTTTCGGTATAGAACAATCTTAGGGGGTGAGAGCATTAAAATTTCGACTTTACTTTTTTTGGGCCAACCTATTGTACATATCTATGCACTTATATCCCATAAGCCGATTAGTTACGCTTAGCGGTTGTTAGGCTTTTGTGTAGGTGCTTGGCGTGAAATATTTATTACTTTTGTTTCTATTATACCCGCATCAAGCACTTGTGCACAAAGGTTCACATGCTGCGACCATTTCTTTCTTTTCATGAAGTGTTTGCCTTTTGTGGCGGATTTGCTACGGAAGTTTTAAGGAAATTTGATTTTTCTGATCCTATTGATAAAACAGTGTGAACCGAAGTACAAACATGTAGCCCATTTAATGAAGGCCATACAATAGATTTATTTCTAAGGAGTCTTCTTTATCGGATGATTTTAGCTATGTGTGTTGTGTGGGTGCCTATCTTTGCAAGCTACCTTGTTACCTTTAGTCTTAAGGCGAGTAGGGTCTCTCATCCGGGGACTTCAGACCAATGAGCCCTTCCTTGTTTCCATTGAATACGCTGTAGAGGCTGATTGATCTAAACCTAAAAACGGGACTTTTAGAGAGCATCTGTCTTCAATTTAGCATGCCTACTGCAAGGTCAGATCCATTGAAAAGGGCCCTACATACGATCGTTGATAGTTCCGAACAGTCTTTTTTGCAGAAGGAATACGTGTTTGGTGCCATCCTTCATATCGAGGGGCTTTTAATAACGTCTTGCCTGAGGCTTTTGTAAACTCCCTAAATAGGCTAGGCGTCGGAGCCGTCCATTTCAGGTTTAATTATCGCAGGCCTTGCAACAGAACTATTGCGGCAGAGTAGTGCAGCGCCTCAATCCGGCGATGTGTGAGTAGAGGTACTCCGAAAGGAGGGTCCTTTCACCGTTCCCTGCAGGACGGGGGAGCGACAATAGGATTGATGAATCGGTATGAGCCAAGTAAACTCCGTCGATTACCGATGGACTACTTGCTTAGCCGGTAATCACCATCGGCTCCCTCTGCACTGCCAGGATTTGTTACTTGCTTGATTTATGAACGCCCCTTTTCGTTGTTTTTTTGTAATTCTGCTTTCGACTCGTTCGACTCTGCAGTACCATACGCACCACCACGGGTTAATAGAGTTGTTACTTCCCTAGGAGTCGGTGCAGAGCGACCTGCTGGTGGCACTGGGGCGAAGTGTCTGACAGGTGGTTGCCTATGCTGACGATGTAGCACTAGTAATACGGGGAAAGTTTCTGGACACACTGATTGAGCTTGTGCAGGGTTACCTGAGCTTGGTTGAAAACTAGACTTTTCATTACGGGATTTCTGTGAACGCTAGCAAAAAGAGCTAGTACTTTTTAATAGGAGGTATAATGTATTTGCCATCTCCCCTCAATGGACGGTCGGAGGACCACCAAAGCTTTCGGGGGAGAAAAGAGTCAAGAAGGCAACAGTAGCCTTCCATTAATGTAAACGGGCCATTAGCAAGCGATGGGGTCTGTCACTGAAAGTAGTTCATTGGATTTATAAGAATATAAATAAGCTAGTCTTATTTTAAGGGGTACGAATCTTGTGGAACGCTCTAGGCAAGGCCTGCATCGTCAAACAGTTGGAAGGAGTGCAGCCATTATTGGAATAAGTGGACACTTCGAACCACTCCTACCCTGGTGCTTAATGCTGTGCTAAACGTTGTGCCCATAGATATAGCAGGTAGGGCTCCGGATGCTCTCGCTAAGTGGGATGGGCTTTAAATTCGCCTCGGGCTATGGACACGCCACTACTCTAAAACCCTTTGAATTCCTACCAACTTGAACAGACCACCGTCCGCCAAATTTGAGTCCGAAGGCATCCTTTACCACCCACATTCCAGCGAGGCATACAGGAGGGGTGCAAAATTTGGAATAGGGGTCCCATAAACGTATTTTCAGATGAATACAAGCTCAATGAGAAGGTAGGTGCAGAAACTCTTCATCAACTTGAAATTGAAGCTATCGGATTATTGTTGCGTTCCATAGGTAGATGTAGCCGCAATAAAGTATTGCTTTGGATTAGTTGCTCCCTAGTGTAATGCCTTTCTTTAAGGTGAATATCTATTCCGATAGCCAAACAGTCTCTCGGATCTCTTATGGTTTATTCGTGAACTAACTACTCTATTAAGTTAATTTCCGGGTCACAGTAAAATGGCTAGAAACAGCATGACCAATGAGCTGGCAAGACAGGAAACTCTTGAGGAACTGTTCCCGGGCAGAGTTAGTCTGGATGGTGTCCTGACCTCATCTGGTCTGTTCCTGGTCAGATGGGCGTTGGGCCAGCTCAGCGGGCGCTGGGCGAAGAGCTTGGAATGCAAGGTGACAAAATCCTTCTGGTCAAGTGTAGACCGCGGGGGGTCCAGGGAGCTCTAGGGACTATGAAAGTTACACCTCTCGCTAGTGGTGGGAGTTGTAACTGGCCATTGTGTAACAATGACCCCTTTCGTACGAGCGGCATGGAGGACGATAAGGCAAAATCATCTCAACACCTGCTGCTCTGGTGCCACGCATTTTCGTACCTAAGGTTCAAGAACCTTGGGTCCCACTTTTCCATCCTCCCGATGAGATTTTGGAAATGGAAATGAGCCGTTTTGAGGAGCTTTCGTGGTGAGCACGGACCGGTTTTATTATAAGAAGCTATAGGTGTCAAAGCTCTTGTTCCCTCCACCCCTCCCGATTCTCCATGCATAACTTTATTCGTCACTATGTGCTGGTACTTCAAATGTATGTTTTTTCACTTCTTCGAGCGAACTAGACAGATTTGGAAAACTTCATTAAAAGATTTACTGGAGAAGCTACTTAGTTAGTTAGTAACATGAAAGGATAGAACAACTTGGTTTTATTATGGGTCCATTAGGCTTCTTAAACTAAAAGTCATCTAGCGTAACCTTCCTTTCCCTAACCTACCATCATCTTTTCCTTGTCGCTCTGAATGCGTGTAAGTTTGTCGACTACCCTGGCACCATATCCTTTGCTTTTTGTCCTACCACTATGTCTCCGATATCAACTTAATCGTATGAGCTTTGCAAGGATCCCAAACTTAAACATGGCTCAGTAGATTCTTCTTCTCTTTGTGGAAACTCGACGAAAATGGGGTGTATGCCTATTTGTTCACACAGATCTTCGCGGAAAAAATCTTGCCAATGGGCCTTATGTTAGGTTTGAAGAACTAATACTAGTTGATTCAGCAAGGACTCCGGATTTTCACACAGTACTGTCGATTTGATATTATGTGAAATATAGAGCACGAAACTTAAATTTCAAATGCTTATCTTACTACGTTTTACGTGTTTCGCTTTAATACCTGTTGCCAATAAAATGACTCGAGAAGACCAAAACACACATAAATACATACTTATTCTAGAGCCTATAGAATTTAAGCAGTATCAGATAGACGTGAAGGTGTATGCAGATGGGTATGTATGTAAGTTCATTCAGGTGCTACTTACCATGTAAACTGCCCAACGATGTTTGCTTAATGAATTGGTAGCGTTTGAAGAGGACCAAAGCGCCGAATAGAAACACAATTAACGCTATAATGGAACCCAGTAAAATGATGAACCAAGTCTGTGTTAGAAAATCGTCGGCAATGTCGCGATTGATGGGATATCTGTGAAAGAGAAGAAGGAGCAAATGAAAGAGTAGAGCAAAACGAAATTATGTGTGGGGAAAATGAGAAAATAGAAATTGATGTACTGATGTGAAATGGATGAATGAATGAATGAAAGTAGGCGGCAATGTATTGGAAGACAGGCACAGATAACAAACACAGCAGTGAATATAAAAGCAATAGCAGCTGTGTAATAGCAGTAGGAATTGAAGCTACGCACATCACCCTTGGATAAGACCAGCTACGTTTTCACTTTAATCAGACACAAATTTGCACGGGAAACTAGAGAAAATTGCTGCCGATTTATGGATGTTGTGCATATGTGAACTTTGTTGTTGGTGTTGTTGCTGTAGTCCGGTTGCTTTTGTTTGTAGTCGTTGAATATGCTGATGAGGTTTCGTTGCCTTTGGTCATGTCACTACCGATGTTGCTTTTGCTTTTGCCGGTGCGTTGATTGCACCGTCGTTGAACGATAAACGGCACCACACTGCGCGATCTGAGTTTTGCTGGCTGGCTGACCGGCTGCCTGGCCAGTTGGTGGCCATTCAAACAACAAGTAACAGCAAATATTCGAGCATTATTGGAGTTACAAAAACAACGACGACATAATGTAGGAAGGTAGTAAAAAAATGTTGATTATGAATAGTCTGACGCCAATGGCGCTTGTTTAGGCTACTGCGGGCTTTGCATATTAGAGTGTGTCGCCCCCCATAAACGAGGGTGGTTAAATCTCTTTATGCAAGCACTAATCTAGCTCAATTCGGGATCATCCTTCATTTAGAGGTACAAATTCTTATAGTAAGGTTAGCAGGATGGGTGAGGATTTTGCCATATTTTCATTCGGCTACATATAAGCAGACATTAAAAAGAGAAAGTGCAGATCATTAGCCGACTGAAATACATATCATTCAAAATAAAATTAAGATACGTTCGACCTTCTTGGTGTTTTCTAGACAAGGCAAGGAACGTGGCCCCTGCTGTCTGAGTCGCTTCGACTGTTCGTGCATGGACAACTAAGATGGTCAACTGATGCCTCTTAGTTCTCATCGAGCCAACTCTACTACACCGAATCTCGCGATCACCCCGTTTGGTCCTTAAGGTTCTTGCAAAGGCTACATTTGATTCCTCGATTACCTTCATATGATCTCAGAGACATACGTAGACACTTCATCCGCTACCTCGTTTCCCTTGATATTATACTGTCCGGAAACCCAGTTGAGGGGACCTATTTGGCAAGTAATTTTCCTACAACCTCTAAGTTTACTACTTTTTGACCTCAAAGTTTCTTTAAATATCGATGAATATAGTGGCTTTTCAGGATGGAACACAGGTATTTACTAGAAGACTAGTTTCCTTCTCTATAGCCTAGATCTAAGTTCCTTCTGCTTTCACAAGAGCACAAATCTCAGCTCGGAAGATGTTTCAGTCCTCTATAGGACTATAGGAGAGGTAGCTTCCCTCTGAGTAGAGAGCGATCCATCCATCTGTCCATTGAGGGATGCCCATAGTGAACGCGATACAATGTACGTTTCTAGACCAGATACGATCAAAGAGAGCTTTAACGAAAGGTTGTAAAAAGCTCCATTTAAAAGCTTTACATTTTTATGTTTTTTGTTGTGACTGGTTTATATCGGCGATAGACACTGCCTTGCCCGCGGACAAAGCTCTTCAAGCTTTCTTTACTTTTTGTCTAGGCCCGCGCAGATTAAAAGCTCTCTCTGTCCATCGCTGGTTTAGACCAAATATGGGCGGAGAGTGCTTTTACCCTTTGTGCGTCTATAAAAAATGTATAAGTAAAAAGCTTTAAAAAGTTTTAGGCGCTGGCAAATCAATATGCAATACAAATAAAGATCTTTTATAGTGCGCTCTCCATGTAAAATCTGTAAAATACTTCCAAAGCAAAATATGTTTTGGTTATTTCTGATCTCTGTTAGTAGATCTGCCCTTGTAGCGGCACTGGTCTTCCGCTTAACTTGTAAAAGCAGGGGTTTCAGAGAGTTCGACTGTATGGCCTTTACTCTTTATTTTTCAACCATCTGTAGGTCCAGAGCCCCAGGATAGGTTAATGAAGTGGTGACATTTTTCTATTTTGGATGGTGTGATAGTCACTTTTTCAGAGAAATGAATTTTAGCAAGTCTAGCCCTTGGTAGAGAGACGCTCCAAAAATTCGATGAATTATCTGTGTAAGTAATTCCTAGTTTTTGCCAAATAAACGCATTGCGCAATTTTCTTCTTCCTTCTTCAACGTTCCTTTTCCAGCAAAATGTTTCCGTCCAGAGAAAATTATCTTTCACCACTGACCGACTATCTAAAAATCCACATGTCTGATATACATACGACCGGGCATAGAACGCGTTGGTATGGCCTTCGCTACTTGCAAGCTGCGTTTAGGAGATTTTAACTATACTCGCGCGAACGAGAGGTGGAGTCAAACCACTTCCTTTAGAATTTCTAGGAAAACTTGCCTTAGATGGGATCGAAAAAGGATTCGAAGCTTACATATATGCGGAGGAAGAGACAGTTCTACATGTTCCCTGTAGCTGTCCGGTATTATCGACGCATATATTGTGTTTTCTGGGGTCTCAATTCTTTAGTGACCCTAACATAAACCTTCGGTGCCTGACGACTTTCGTCGAGGATTCAAAATGATTCAGCAAGGAGAGGAAGGAAAACCCTTAGTACAATGGGACTTCAACTCATGAATAACTGCGTTTTTGAGGAAACCAACCCCAGTAGTATCCATCCAATCCTATGAGCCAAGTCATTAAGTACAATTTGCAGTACTGTATTCGAGAAATTTATTCAGCAGATTAGGAGATAAAAAACTACTCAGAGGAGGAAAAGAAAGTTGCAAGACAAATAGGCATTCAAGTAAAAATAGACTAACGACGAATTTTTTGAGTTATTCAGTTTATTAATAACCCGAATTGTAGCGAAATATTTTGGGGAGGCCTAGATTTTTTTTTGGATTATAGAAATATGTGGTTTCGGTGGGGCATCCTAGTGAATGTCTGAATATACAAATTTAGAGATATATTTACATGCATACATATATGTACAGAGAATAATTTGTGTTAGATTTAAATCTGCTAGTCGCATAACAAACCTTGTATATCCCGTATCCAACGATTGTGTGCGTGGATCCATACGCAATACGGCTGGCTTGCTGAATGGGCCCACGCCCACCTTTGTAGCAGCCGCAACGGAAATGTAATACGTAACACCAGTGCTGAGGTTGGCCAACAACAATGTTGGTGAGCCGGCATCGATTGTCATATTTTTAAAAATGCGTGTTGTATTATGTGAGTCCAGACCCTTTACCAGCACATTGTAGTTGGTTAAAATGCCTACAATGAAATCGAAAGCAAACAAGAAGAGGGAAAAAAGAATAGAAGAGAGAGAGAATTCAATAAATGTTGTAACGAGTACAGCAAGCGTGTATAGGGGGGGAAAAAAATTAAACAGCATGCACATTTCTTTCCGAAATGTGAAATGAAAATTTGCCAAAATACTGGCAAGCCTTGCCAAGATGCACTTCGTAGGAGTAGCACTACTACTACACTTTTGAGTAGCATAAATCTCAAACGGGGACAAGTAGGAAAGTAAGCTAGATACGGATTTTCATTTCATTTTCTGTATATGTACTATGTGTGCGGCTATAAGCGATTTTTATACGCACCATTTCGTGTCTTATTCGGATAGGGTGGCTGCCATTTGAGAAATACCGATGATCGATTGAATTGTATGGCCTCCATTGCGTGTGGCGGTGACTCGGGTACTGTAAAAGAAATTGACGCTTTAATATAATTTCGAGTAGCCAGTATATTTGTATGTGTTATATGTAAATAAGTGAAGGTACTATTTGTAGATGGATTTACGAGCGCAGTGACCCATGTTAAGTGACGGCAGTCTAATGAGGAGCTAAAGTGTACTAAAGCTGTGTTTGGTGTGGTGTGGTGTGGTGTGGTGTGGGTATTGGCTATGTGCAAAAAATTTCAANTAGTCTAATGAGGAGCTAAAGTGTACTAAAGCTGTGTTTGGTGTGGTGTGGTGTGGTGTGGGTATTGGCTATGTGCAAAAAATTTCAAACGTTTCTCTTATGAATTTGGTAATTGAAGAAACTACTTTACAATAAGACTCGCAGGCGACACTGCACATAGAAACCATTTATAAAACAAAATTAATTGAAAGACGGTTGGCCCAAACGCAAATTAACAATTTTGATAGGTCATATGGCCAAGAACTGTTTCTCTCGGTAAGTTTGAGTGATCGTTGAAAATTTATGAACTTTCTAGCAAATACCCGGCGTGCTTTGCTGTGCCTTAAAAGTACTTAATTTTGTGTTCTTACTCCCTCCCAAAATTCTTATGGCCACATTCATAAGACTAAAATAGATGTAAGCCTAGAGTACTAACCACATTTTGCATACGTTAGTACTAATGATTGTCAATTCGATGATGACTTACTAAACAATGTCAAAAACATACCCTTCTAGTTTTTTTTTTATTTTATGTCTGGATCCATTTCAAATCATGCAGGCTGGTATATCTGGAATTAAGTTCAAATTAAAATATGTTTTCCTGCTTGAAGAATAAATGAACCTTTGTTTTTAATTTACTAGCATTACTTTTGCGTTTTTTATGAATTTTTTAAGATTTCGTCAAAAAATAAAAATTTTTTGGAAATTTTTTTGTATACCTTGTAGTTTCTATAATTTTCCTCCTAAGTTTATTTGTCCCTATTGTTTGTATTTTTTTCTTTAAATGATAAATAAAAGTGAAAAATTTTGATAAACTATAACAATAACACTAACACGATTTTATGGAAAAACAAAAAAAAATTTTTTTTTTCTCAAAAAGGCCACCTTTTGTTTTCTTCAAATTTACAGGGTTTATAGGTGTCCTTACGTACTACTTACCATTAAAATTTCGTTCGGTATTTTTCGTTGTTTAGAAGAAAACAAATTATTTTAATTTTTTCTTTAGTAACTCTTAAAAGCTGAAACTTTAAATTTTCTGGTTGTTTCTTGAATGAGTTTTTAAAATTTTTGGCATTTCTTTTAATAAAATAATTTTGATAAATAACAATAAAACATAACTTGTTTGAAGAAACAAACAAACATTTATATTCAAAAGAAGACACATTTTTTCTCCAAATTTTCAGTTTTTATACTTACATACGATATACAACATAAAGACACAAAAAAAATTCTGTACCAAATAAATAGTCAAGCGATTCATTTATTTTTTATAAAGTTGAAAGTAATTTGGGTTCGAATTTGATTTTAAGCTTCCAGTATAGCAAGGTTTAAAAATAAAATGGAAAATAACTTTTTTGTTATAGGGAACGAAAAAATTCCAATAAAATAAGAAGCCTCTGATTGAAGAAGGTGTTACCTCGCTAATTGCTAATTTTACATTTAGCCATTGAAACTTTGACTGTTATAGGAGTTAAAAAAAAAAATGAGTTAATACCTCATACCACCGAAGGCGCCATCATATAATTTCCTGTGTGTACCAATTATGCTCTTAAAGCTCTGAAAAAAAGTTGCGATGTTTGAGGAAATGCTTTAGTCCAAGAGCTGGCGTCGAAAATATGCAAGAATTTTCTCAAGGCTAATATCTTCAGAATGGGTTGCATTTATCGATGGAACGTTAGTGCAGAGTCAGCATTTTCAGTTTTGGGACACCTGGCACCGGGACGCCAGCGAGAGTGTTATATTAATTAACATTTTTAAACGGTTTTCTCAAAGCTGAAAACTTATATAAGACAGGTAAATAAAACAAAAAGCAGGTATCTAATAGTCAGACAGCGAAATATATATGTATTGAAATTCATTGAATTATCGCTGTGTACAAAATTATGGAAATTTATCGACAAACTGGAATGCATCGGTTCAATTACAAGTCCTGCCGAAGTCCTACAAAGAACTTCAAAGATTTAAAAAAATTGTAGTGACGTTTTAGTTCCAAATTGGGAGGTCTGCCGGTAAGTAATTTGGTACCTTATAAGTTAAACGACTTCCTAAGCTAGAAAACATCTTCAAGGGTTTCAAAATACTAGAAAAACGGTCGAATTTCGATGGTAACTGGCACTCCTAGTATGTACTTTTACATAAATATTAACCTTTTTAGTACTGAGCTTAAAGTGGGTAACAAACGATTCCTCCGCTGCATCGTGAACTGAATCCCCACATTAATAAATTAAGTAGTAGAGTCTAATTAGTTGTTCATCTGTTAAACTCTTTATTAAACATGACACTGAAATCCCTGAACTACTAAATCAAATCTCTTGACGAACTATGTATATTAAATCAATGTCCTTGCCATAACCTTGTCATTTGAAATTTACAACAGTCTCTCAAAGTTTGACTGACTACATTCGCAGTGACCAACCTTTTACGCCATTGATTTCCTGCTGGGCCACTTTGTGTATGGGCCGAGTGTGGAGCAGTTTTAAATGAAAATTGCCGCTTAGAGCAGTGCCATTTTTGGCTATAAATCACTCAACTAAAGCTGCTGTGACCAAAAAGACAATCACAGCATTCACAGACCGGTCCATTGTGTCTGCAATATGTATGCCTAGGCAACTTTAAGCTGTGTAGGTGTAACGCTATGTGTGTAGGTGGAGTGTTTACAGCCTTTCTGTGCGCATTGTTTTGGAATGTGAATGTGAAACCTAATCAAGTATCAAGCACATAAAACCCAAAAGTGAACAAAAGTCCCTTCACATTTGCTACAATACACACACTGGTACACTCTCTCACTCACATATTCTACCGAACTACATTCGTGTGGCAACTTTAAAAATCATTGACTTTTACATTGCCTTCATCTCTTGCTCTACTCTACTTACCATCTTCCATGGTGCGTATACGTTTCGAATTGGATGGTTTGCCTACGATGCTCTTATAAAATGGCACAAGAAAAAACTCATACATGCTTGCCTTCTCCAATCCATTTACGGTGCATGCCGACGCACCACTGCCCGCATTCAATATGGTCATCATTTTGTACTCAGCCGAGTGTAATTCACGCGCATAAATGTAGAAACCTTCGATGTACTGACCGCTGTCAATGTCCCAAGCGAGGCGTACTGTTGTCGAATCGGTGGCATTGGCCTCCAAGAGCTCGACCATGTCGCTTGTCTGCAGCACAGCTTCCGCTTCATTGAGTAGCAGTTCGGATGTGCCTGCGCCTCCACCAGCGCTGCCACCAATACCACCACCCCCACTTGAGGAGCCCCCACCAATTCTACTGCCGGCACCGACTAATTTGCCCGCCGTAATTGGCTCTGAAATGGGACTAGGCGGCGAGAAACCATGCGCATTCTCTGCGCGCACAATAAACATATACGCCGCTCCACTACTGAGGCCTTCAACCGTGAAAATGGGTTCACTCAAGCGTGCGGCAATGGGAATCCACGTCTTACTCTTGTTCGTCGAGTACATTTCGACTGTGTAGCCGAGGAGTGGCGAAGCGCCCGCCTTATAGCTCGTCGGCCAGACAATGGTAAGTGCATTGGCGGAGGCATTCAGCACTGTGGGTTGCCCGGGCGCATTGGGACATTTGGTTTGTTCGGGTGCGCGATAGAATTTAATATTCGGATTGGTGGGCACTTCGATGCGCAAGTAGCCACTCCACGTGGACTTGCCGGTGCGGCTGCTTGCCACACATGTATACAAACCCTGATCCTCTTTGCGGTCCAAGTCGGAAATTATCAAATCGCCGGCTGCTGTGATGTTCACCTTCGCATTCGGATGCACGGGTATGCCATCACGATACCAGGAAATCGTTGGATTTGGCAAACCAATAGCCTTGCATTGAAGCGTGGCCATCGACTTAACAGGCAGCGTCTGATTGACCGGACCTGCAATGATAATAGGCGGCGGTCGGTCTTCTTGTGAGTCGAGTGTGAGCTGAGCACGCGCCGTTATAGTTGCCACTTCATTCATTGCATTGCAAACCACAACCAAATCGCGGTCGGTGCGTTGAAAATTTGTCAGCGTCAATATGGAATGGCCCTCCTCGGTGTTTAAGCTCTGAAAACGATCGAGTGGCGGCGCGCCAGGAAATATAATCGTGCGGTTATTTTTTATTGTCCAGAAGAGTGTAGGCCGCGGGTTGCCACTTGCGCGGCATTCAAACGAAGTGTCGGCACCCAGCTCGATAGACTTGCTAGTCGGTCGCTGTATGAACTTGGGAGGTGCTATAGTTAGGCGTACGGGTTGCAGGGAACGGTAGTGCAGCGTTGGTTTTAGCGGATAAATTTAGGAAATAAAAATAATTGGCGCATAAGTTGGTTTGGTGTGCAAAGGTTACTAGCAGCTAAAATTTCTAGATATCTAAAATGAAAGGAATATTCTTACTTACCATAAACTGTTAACGTTCCCAAGGCGGAAATCGCGCCGACCACATTATCCGCCTCACAGCTGTACTCGCCTTCGTCCGCAATGGTGACGCGTTCTAGACGCAAGCTGCGATCTTCTAGGACGCTCACGCGATCTACGTGAAAGAGAAGAAATAGATTGGAAAATTGGAAACTAAGTTGAGAAGATAGGGGTAAGATTATCAAATTGGAAAGTTAAGAGATAGCAAAACCGTTATTAATAATGCTGGTTATCCTGTGGGATAAATTTCCTTAGCTAGTTAATATAAGATTGTGACTGATCGAGTCATACTTTGACCTGCATCCCCCCCTTTCGCCAACAAATGCTTACTGCCGCTTTATAACCAAATTGATAAATTAACAGGGCTAAATTGTCCCAGAATTGTGAAATAGTAAGCTCTATTGTTTAGCAAGGTTGAAAATTCCCCAAAATAAATTGCTCTAATATCTTATAATAAAGATTTAAAATGTATACAGCTGCAAGGTCGTTAAGGATTGTTACTTTGTGCTTCTTTTATGAATTGAACTTATTTTTAGCGTTGTTGTTGTTTTTGTTGTTATTTTTGTAGCGGTTTGATAAGGCCTGCTTGTACATCAATCCCCTCGTCAAGCTCAAAAATCGTGAAGTAGCCCAAGAAGTGTGCTACTCCGACTGAGTTAGTCCGTAGGGACAGAGGCGTTAGTAGAGTGGGGTTTAGGGGACATACGAAGAGGTGCCGCGAGTAGCAGACGAAACTCTTTCTCATCCACGTCAGATAGTCGTATTCCCAAAATGGCATTAACAGGACGAGAGTCGGTGTAAGTCGAGACCGACTCACTGTGAATGCCGTTTATGGCCTACTGGTAGGCTGTAGCTTCGTCCACTGAGTCTTGTTAGTCCGGCCGATTGCCTTGTATGTGGCAAACCATGTTTGTTTGTCTTTGCACCAGGTGCTGCCGGCTGACAATTTGAAGACCTTGTTACGCCTATGTACTCTATTGACAATTGCGGTTGTATGCGAAGGGAAGAAGAGCAGACTATCGAAGGTTATTTCGAGAATTTTCTGGCTATTCACCATTGGAGTTAGTTCTTCATCACCGTGAATTCCTAGCTGTAGTCTGAACTTCTGACTTTCTTCGTACAGGTGGTAAAAAGGGTTGCTGAGGAGTTTGGAGTCGTAATCGTTTACTTTCGAGCATAACTTATAAATTCCAGGACGCCATTACCGAGCAGTCGTCAGCATAAGAGACAATAGAGATTCCCTCTTCTGGTTGAGGGAGCTTTGAGATGTAATAGTTATACATCATATGCGAAAGGATACCACCCTGTGAGACTCTTGCATAATTTTGCTGGTTTTGTCTTTGAAAATTACTGACGAATGTCGACTACTCGGATAAATCACCGAACACCGTTTTAGTCCCTCAATATCTTCTAGTAGCGTGGAGTGGTTGACGGTATCAAACGCTTTTGACAAATCTAACGCTACTAAGGCTGTTCACTCACAGGGTCAGTTTCGGTTCAGGTCACGATTTATCTGGGTGTTTAAGACGTTAAGTGCTGTTGTTGTGCTGTGCACTTTACGGTACTTGTAATTTAGGGCAGCAAGACCTCAATGTGTCTTCGCTACCGGGAAAAGGCGGTTATCGGGAGATAAGACTCTCCTTTGTTAGCCGGTTCCTCGGTTTAAGCAGTGGGACCTCTCCCCGTTTTTCAGATATCTGTACGATGAGAGTGGCCATGGACAGATTGATGATCTCTGTANTAAATCTAACGCTACTAAGGCTGTTCACTCACAGGGTCAGTTTCGGTTCAGGTCACGATTTATCTGGGTGTTTAAAACGTTAAGTGCTGTTGTTGTGCTGTGCACTTTACGGTACTTGTAATGTAGGGTAGCAATACCTCAATGTGTCTTCGCTACCGGGAAAAGGCGATTATCGGGAGATAAGACTATCCTTTGTTAGCCGGTTCCTCGGTTTAAGCAGGGGGACCTCTCTCCCCGTTTTCCAGATATCTGTACGATGAGAGTGGCCATGGACAGATTGATGATCTCTGTAAGATAGTTTACTCCAGCAGGATAGCATTAGCATGCAACCACAGTCACGTGCAATGGCATTTGAGGCTTTTGACGAAAGCAATAGGCATAACAAGGGCCGCTGAAAGCGTCATACATAGGTGCACAGCTATCAAAATTAAAAGAAATAACCATGGATTTAAGACCCTGAAAGCATTAAAGACCTTGATTTGACAACGGAAACGTTATTTCTATGGAACAATGAAGCTCCAATTTCGACTCCATAGATTTCTTGGAAGGAGCAAAATGCCACCTTGGCCTCGAACTCATACCGTTGGTGAGCTCTTTTTCCTGTTGGAGAGTATTCTAATAGAGCCAAACATAAGAAGCAAGTCCAGTTGGAACTACTTAAATGAAATGACATCACTATGAACAAATGAACGAGTTCCAGGACTATATATGACAATGAATGGACCCGACTCTATATAGACAGTCCATGAACGTCAATAGACAATATCCACCTTCGCCAAGACTCACTCCGTGAACCTGTCCTGAGTCCTGTGCTTGACGGAAACTATTTAAGGATTAGCAGATTCTAGGGATGGCAAAGTAGAAGCTACAACAATAAGGTGGGAATCACAATCTTCAAACTCTTTCATTTCTCAATTTTCTGTAGTAAATTTAAGGCACATTGCAGCTTTATATTTACTCTAAAGAATCTTAAAGTATTTTCCTACTAATATAGTCCAATATGGACACACTAGTACATAACAGCCAGTGAATTGGCTATCCTGTGCCATATTTTGCCAATCGCATTTCCACTTACCCAATGGCATATTTCCGCCGGATGCTGTGCGCAACCATAAAACATCTGGCATTGGATCACCGCCAACGCGACAAGGAAACGTCACTGATGAGCCTTCCAGCACCGTTTGATCATGCGGGCCACGTATGATGAACGGTTTCACTGCAACGATAACGAAAACAAAAACACACAAATAAGAGTATGAAGAAAAGAAGAAATTCATAGCAGGCATAAGCCTAGCATAAATCGAAGCCAAGAAAAAAAAAATGGAAAAAGAAATAAAATTAATGAATACTGTGGTAGGTAATGGCAGCGCTGGGAAAAGCAAACAGCCAAGAAACTGGAGCAAATTTAGCCATAAATTTTGTGACTCAATCATAGAAATATTGTTTGTGGCCTACACATACAAATGTCTATTTGTAAGAGCATGTATGAGCCTGCTTGCCACAAAATCGAACACATGACACATTGGTGGGCAATCTAAGTCGTTGTGGCGGCCAGTTGTCAGTTGCCAAGTCAATTTCGTTGCCAATCAGCTGTGCAAATTGCCACAGCAAACGACAAGCGCACTGACACTTGCGTACATGTACATATACATATATATGTATGCACGTGAGGTGTTTGCTTTGCTGCCACAATTCACACATACTCGTAGCCCCTAGATACTTATGTATGAATGTATGTATGTATTTTTTTTTATTTCATGCCCCTACTCACCGTGCACCTTGAGCGTCGCCAACACAGATTCTCGTACGCCCACAGGATTCTTGGCAATGCACTGATATTGACCCTCGTCACTTTGACGTGCATCCTGTATGGCCAGATTACCGCCATCGACTATGCGTACACGCTTCGTACTATCCAAATCTAATTTCTGGCCACCTTTCTTCCATGTGACCGTCGGTTCGGGTATGCCGCGCGGTGCGGCACATTCCAACAATGCTGTGTCACCCTGTGCTATGCGAGTATTCTGTGGTTCCAGACGGAATTCGTCGCGCAACACTGAAAGCAGTAAAGTAAGAGGATAAGTAANAAAATGTTGTTTGTGGCCTACACATACAAATGTCTATTTGTAGGAGTGTGTATGCGCCTGCTTGCCACAAAATCGAACACATGACACATTGGTCGGCAATCTAAGTCGTTGTGGCGGCCAGTTGTCAGTTGCCAAGTCAATTTCGTTGCCAATCAGCTGTGCAAATTGCCACAGCAAACGACAAGCGCACTGACACTTGCGTACATGTACATATACATATATATGTATGCACGTGAGGTGTTTGCTTTGCTGCCACAATTCACACATACTCGTAGCCCCTAGATACATATGTATGAATGTATGTATGTATTTTTTTTTATTTCATGCCCCTACTCACCGTGCACCTTGAGCGTCGCCAACACAGATTCTCGTACGCCCACAGGATTCTTGGCAATGCACTGATATTGACCCTCGTCACTTTGACGTGCATCCTGTATGGCCAGATTACCGCCATCGACTATGCGTACACGCTTCGTACTATCCAAATCTAATTTCTGGCCACCTTTCTTCCATGTGACCGTCGGTTCGGGTATGCCGCGCGGTGCGGCACATTCCAACAATGCTGTGTCACCCTGTGCTATGCGAGTATTCTGTGGTTCCAGACGGAATTCGTCGCGCAACACTGAAAGCAGTAAAGTAAGAGGATAAGTAAAAATTATTTTTTTTTTATTCGGTTAAAAGGTGTTCAAATAAATTGTGGGGGAAAAAATGTGTGCGTGAAATGTTAAAAATGCTGTGGGTGCTTGGGAAACGAAGGATTAGACGTTGGCAAATTGTGTGCGAGACGATTAAGAAATGCCAAGAATACCAGAAAAAAATGGGCGAGACAGTTGAGAAAGGTCTGTGAGAGAGCTGAATGAATATGGAAGTTATTGAAATGCTTTCCGTCTGTGTTCGTCATTGAAAGCTTTAAATAAGTGTTGTATGCACGATTGGACAGTGGAAATGGGAGGAAAGTGTTGAAAATTCAGTATTAATTACAGAAGGAAGACGAAGTAAATATAAAATATTTGGTTATTGTAAAGGATTTTCATCTTAAAAATATCGAGTTTTTTGAAGAAGAACGGAAGAACAAATTTGAAAGAAGAAAGTCCTATCAAATGCTATGGCATCTCTAATACATATACCATTTGTGGGACCACATTAAGAAGTACCGTTTGGCAAATTATTAGGCGTTGACATGCACAGTATGCACATAAATGGATTGGATTAGAAGTTAAACATTAATGTATTTTGATTTTATTAATTTAGCCAGGTCAAGTAGAAGATTTTTCGTAAACACTTCGGGAAAAGTTCAGGACTATTTCCGGATATTTCGTGAATAGTTTCGGAATGGTCCCGAATGTGTCCCGAAATAGTCAGGAAATACTCCTGAAGAGTATTCGACTTTTTCATAACCACACCGGGATTAGTTCAGAGCAATTTCGGGACCATTTCATGACTTATTTTTAACTACAACGAAATTATCCCGAACTAGTCCCACAATTGTCCTGAAGTGGTTCTAAAAATGTCGTAAACTTGTCCCGAGATGATCTTGAACAAGCCTTGAAACGCTCCGGGAATGATCCTATACTAGATCCAAAATTATTCCAAACACGTCGGAAATTAAGTATCCCGAACAAGTCGGAGAACGGTCCTGAAATAGTCCTTTACACGTCAATAAACGGTCCCGAAATAATCCCGAAATATTCCCAAAACAGTCCACAAATATTCCAGAAATGTTTTACGCACAAGAAACAAACACACATTTTCTGCTGGGTTAACGCAAATTTTGCCCACACCGGGGGCTAAAATGTTTACACATCAGAAATTGTAGTCACCAAATAATTGTGTATTATAATTCGTTTTTCTTAAAATAAACACCGATTATACATGACCTGAAATGAAATTCCCGAAAGGATACCTCTCCCTTCGAGAGTAGACTGATAAATATTAACGAATTTATGAAATGGCCTTAAAAAACCATAATAATGATTGATTCTCGTTTATTCTCAACCGTGTGTTAGGCCAAAGTCTTGCAAAAGCTAGGCAGCTTAAAAATGTATCCTGTATTGACATAATTTTTCCCCATCGACCTCCAAACGATTGCGACAGTAAGGATACGGTGTGGTATTTAGTATATACACTTGCATTACAATCGGGTAGCGTCCTTTCAATATACATACTTAACAGACAAGAGAGGTGCGGCTTTGTAACCCCAAGGAAATCCTTGGACCAGCTCTTAATTACCGTCGGCTAGAATAACCTTGCAGTAGCACATATTCTGGATTTCGTCCAGTGTTCGTTAAGCTTACAAGGGGTCTATCTGTGCAACAGTAGTCCACAAGTAGTCAAAGATATTCTCTATCTTCTCTTGCACCAGTTAGAGACCGATTCGAATGTGCCTTTCGTGGTCACTACATCTGCTAAGCGGTTTACTGGCATAGCACTATGTGTTAGACTGACAAGGAAATACTCGGACGCAATCGAAAGCGAGCCCAGGCTANCCTCTCTTCTCTTGCACTAGTTAGAGACCGATTCGAATGTGCCTTTCGTGGTCACTACATCTGCTAAGCGGTTTACTGGCATAGCACTATGTATTAGACTGACAAGGAAATACTCGGACGCAATCGAAAGCGAGCCCAGGCTAACCTTGAATGTACCGTTAGCAAGCGCAAAATCTTAAATATTGCTTAGCTATTAGAGTACATAGTTATCTATCTCCACTAACGACATCGCTTAGATCAGCAGACAATGGACTGGTTACCAAGTGGCAGCTGCCTCTATTCACAAAACAGCTCTCCTTCGAACCAACCGTGTAAAAGTTCATCGGAGCCTACTTCCAACCATTGACTAGCTTAGTCGTCTTTAGTGCATTCTAGCAGAGGAAAACCTGATGGCAGAGCACTTAGTTCAATTAAACCTGAATCAGATGATAAGAATTATTAAGCCATTTATCTCTCATTAAAAATGCATGGTAGTCTATAATCACGATTTGAAAAGGGGTCGATTACTATAGCCCTCATCGATGTGGAGAGGGGCACCCACAATGAGGTATTTATATAGAAATGAGGGCTTACTCTAATAAGTTTACGATCAATGAAGATTTCCTCGACCGACTTCAGTCCAACTACACCATAACTAGCTCACTTTAAGAGACTATTAGGATCATAAGCAAGAGACCTGCCGAACTATTAAATTTTTTTAAAAGTTTTCTTTTGACGTAGAAATGCTCCTAGAGCATATATGTAGATATATTTCGGCATCATAAATAAAATTTAAAAAAATATCGCTTACATCTTTTTAGCGGTTAGGGTCCGAAATTTTCGTGGCTGAATCCAAATTTTCGACCGTAATTCAAGAGCAGACTATATTTCTATCTTACTTCAACAACCCGGCTATAAATTGAGCACCTTAAGTAAAAATGTTTATTTTTTTGTAAACTGAAGAAAAGATAAGTTGGAGCTATTCTTAAAGAGATCGTAATTAATTGAAGAATATCGTACTAGTTACAGTTGTCAGTATCCGGCAGCGGAATAATTAATCAAATCACAGCCGACATGCTGGAGACCACAATGCCCCATTCACATGCATACATACATACACATTCGCTCACATTTCCGCCCTCCACAAAGCATATCAGCAACTGAACTGAATCGGAATCGTTAATTAATGTCAGCCAAAAGTTTTAACCTTCAATTTCAGAACACAGACGAGCAATTGCGCACAATTTCATGACTTTGAAAGAATTAGGGTGTAACGAATAGCACACTTAGTAGCGTAATAAATGTACATATAGTATATGTATGTATGTATACATATACATATGAATACAAACTTTATTCTGTTATAAACTGAAAGATGTTGCTAATAGAGCCGACAACAATTTGAACTTTTTGGCGAACTTTAGAGATTTTGCAATTAACGTAATTGGATGCAACAAATGAGTTAAGAGCGCATGCCAAGCCAATGTCCTTGCTAAAATTAATGTGTGATGAATAAGCCACAAACAAAAATAAACATGCATACACATATGTATGTATGCGTAATAGACAATAATGTATACATACAAGTTTTAGTTGAATCGCAGCGTACATACATAGCTTTTGATCAGAGCAAAAGTTTAGCTTTATAGTTTTAAGCACTTAAGCATCGCAATTGTGTGCGTAAATTATCTTTTATATATGTATAGTAACTACTTACATTTATGCTAAATTCAAGTTTTCAAAGCTTGCCAACATTATCATCAAATTCTTAATTGCTGCACATGGAAATGGTAAATACTTACTTCAAACTTAGGATACTTTGATCGAAGGCACGTCGCAAGTCTAGTGGCCTTTTATATGCTACATTCTCAGACTGAATTTTGGCACTAAGCAGTCTACTCGCATTTTTTTTTGGTTTTTTAATGTTGTCTAATTTGACAGCTTTTAATGAGCAGTGTCGGGTTCAGCGCATCAGTTCAAAGGAAACTTCTTGTGCGCTTTACATCGTGCTTGAATTAGTTGGAGTGGATATGCCCAGAGAGATTGCAATAAGGCTTAGCTAATACATTTTTTAAGTGAAATGGAGATAGTATAAAATTGTAAGCTGGCTGGCCAAACACAAACATTATTTAAGAAAAAAACTAGTTATTTGTTTATTAGTTTTTTTTTTTCTATTACCCGTATAGCTCAACGAATTATATGAGTATTTTCCGGTGTAATAATTACAACTATCTTTTTTTTATTTTAGTCTTAACCTTAATATTGATCCTAATCCTTAATTTAATCATAATCTTCATCATAAATATAATCACAATCATAATCTTAATCTTAATCTTAATATTAATCTTTATCTTAATAGCAGTCTTTATTTTATTCTTAATCTTAATCTTAATCTCAATCTTAAATTTAATCGTGATGTTAATCCAAATCTTACTCTTAATCTTAAGCTTAACCCTAAACTTAATCTTAATCCTCATCTTAATCTCAATATTAATCCTAATGTGGATTTTAATCATAACCATATTCATAATTTTATTTTAATCTTAATCTTAATCTTTATCTTAACATTAATCTCAGTGTTATTCTTATTCTTATTCTTAATATTAATCATAATCATATTCAAAATCTTATTTTCATCTTAATCTTAATCTTAGTCTTAGTATTAATCTTAATCTTATTCTTAACCTCTAGATCTAAATATTATATATTCTTAATGTTAATTTTAATCTCAGTCTCAGTATTGATCTCAATCTTAATTTTAATTTTAGTCTTAATCTTAGTCCTAATATTAATTTCAGTCTTAATTTAAATCTAAATCTCAATCTTAATCTTAACCTTAATCTTAATCCCAATATTAATCCTAATATTAATCTCATTGTTAATCTTAACTTAATCTTAATGTTAATATTAATATTGATCTTAATCTTTAATCTTGCCTTTTGCGAATTCTTCTGAAGCTTTTTCGTTTCATTGTCTTATTAACTGGCTAATCTTTTATTAGAAGACCATTTCCCGTCCATCCCAATCCAGGAAATATCTTCGAATTGAGGACAGAACAGATTTAGAGAAAAGACTACGCTAGTCACAAACCTAGAGCGGGTACAATAGACAGCTCTCATTGGGCACTTAGGAGCGGTTACGCCAAGTTGGGTGACAA